TCCACAAGAGGGCCTTCTTAGAAAAGCTTTTCCTTGTTTAATGTCAAGGTATTTCTGTACAACTTCCATGACAACCAAACTTTCTCAGAAAGAATTTCAGAGAAAAGACAATACTTATTAATTTTTTCCAGCATATATACCTACAAAATAATCTTTTCTGTGATGTTAGAGGGCATATTTTGTAAATCTTCCCCCTTTCTCCTCCTATGCCTTAAACAGATGGAGTATTTTCTGTTCTCTGTTAACTGTTAAAAGCTAGACTCTAAGCAGAAATGTAAATAAAGCTAGTGAAGCTAGCCCGACTCTACATTATCTTAGATAATTGTGTATTATCCCCTCCTCACCCCAACCAAAAAAGCTCAGGAAGAAAAATTGCAGTTTAAAAAAAAAAAAAGGAGCTATGTGAAGAGGTATGTCACAAATGTGTATATATAAAAAGAATATCTTCTCAGATAAAGATTTTATTAGGCATATGCCACCAAACAGAAACCACTGAATGAGGTTTTGTCCATCTTAAGTATGGAGCTTCAAATAATCAACTCAGTGATGTTTCTTTCACATAGTGTTCTAATACTTCATTTTAGCAAAGTCTCGAAGAACAGGAAACAGAAATAGAAGAAATTAGGAGTGTTTAGTTTCTTTCCAGCTGTCCCTTATTTTGCATTCGCCTAAGTACAATGGCCCTTACAGAGCAGAGTAGTAGTGACTGGGAGTCTGTAATATTTTCTTTTATTTCTCTAAGGCTGTAGAAACTGAGGAATTCATTCAAGGAAACCACAGTACTAAGTGATTAGTATAAAGGCTAGCTTGTGTTTCAGTTTGGTCCAGTATATATTCTTTTACTTTTCATAATTTTGTCTTGATTTACTTTATTTGCTATCAAACTTGTATGCATAAAAATCACCTGAGGACCTCATTAATAACACAGATGCCCAGGCCTTGGCCCCAGAGACATTAATCAAATAGATCTGGGGTGTGGCTGGGGCATCAATCCCCTACCCCCAGGTGTTTTTTGTGCAGACCAAAGTTTGAGGTTTAATGGAAAGAGATAAAATAAAACTAGACCGATTTTATTTTTTAGAAACCTGCTCACCTGCTAGTTCCATAACCTTGGGCATGTTTCTTAATATCTCTGAGCCACGTCTAAAAAAAGAGATAACTTATTTCTTTAAGGTTGTAATGGGGATTAAATGGATTAACATACGGGATAGTGGTTATAACAATGCTTGGCCTGCAGAAGATACTCAGTAGATTAGATACCTTCCTCGTTACACGTGAAACTTGCAGTTTGGTCCTTGTCCACCTTGCCAACTGTCTTTCACATCTTTACAAATTTCTCTCTTCCAACCATGTCAGATACTTATTCCCTAAATGAGTTTTTGAAGCTTCTGTGCCTTTCGTAGTCACCTTTCTTTGGAATGCCTTCTGCTGCTGCTGCTTTAGTAATTTCTTACTTATTCTTTAAGACTGTTCAGTTGTCATAGCCTGTGTAACCACTCTGACCTTCCTGCATCCCCTTTCCCCACACACATACTCTGTCCAGTCTGCTCCCACTGCGAGGCATCATGCTGTAAGGAAGAGAACACATGTTCTATAAGCAGACATGGATCTAAGTCATGACAGCTTCTAACTAAATGTGTGAGCTTGGACAATTCCTTTCAGTCTTTTTTTTTTTTTTTATGTGCTAAATGGGGATAATATTACTGTACAGTGTTGTAGGGAATATTGTGTAAGTTTAAGTTCAAATTTAACCTTTACCATAAAAGCAGTTATGATTTGAGATACGGTTTTAGATGATTTGGTTATAATCATAATCAAAATTGAGTAACTTATTTCATACAATGTGGTGGTTTAATAAAACAGCCCTCTAACAGTAATATTCAAATTTTCAATATATTTTTCTTATAATAGCAACATTTCATTGAGTTGGATGAAAACAGACAGAGATTGCTGCAGAAATGCAAGGAACTTATGAAGAGAGCTAGGCAAGTATGTAACCTGGGTGCAGAGCAGACTGTTCCTCAAGAATATCAGACAGTAAGTATAAAAAGTATATAATTTACAGTTGCCATATTTAACACATTATTTTTAAGCTTAGAGGATCTTAGGTATGGTAACAGGCCATGAAAAATGTGATGTGTCATAAAAAATATGGAATTCCTTTTCCATTTTTAAACTGAATATATGTATTAAATAATTTTGTTTAACAGATTGTCTCTACTGTATTCAAATTTGGCCACCAGTCTTACGGTTTAGTGCAAAAATTCTTAAAACATGGGTATCACTATGCAAAATTATTGGTACTGTAACATTTGTTCTCCTAATAAAAGTGGGCTTTTTCCCCTTAAACTACCTTTAAAGAGGTACAGTTAAAAATATGGGGTATATTTTTCCTGGAAACGTTGTACCAGTAATTGGTATATAAGAAACAGTAAAAGGGGATATTTAGAAAAAGAAAGGCAAAATGGAAATGTTTTCCTGGAAATTGGGTGTTGAATTAGGGTTCAATGGGAGCTGAATCTTTAGGGCTAACATCTGCTGGTAAGGAAAGGACAAAAGAGCTTTTTCCTTATTTCAATTATGTTTTATATGCTAATATACTGGTTAGTAAAATTATGAGATTCTGCCCTTTAGTCTACATTCTACCATTAATTATGTACCCCTGTGACCCTAGGCTCTCTCTGATAAGTGGGGATGATCCCTTGTCTACATAGATGCCTATTCAGAGTAATGCCAAAATGAAATTAGGAAATGAATTTTAAAATATGTATTTGTATGCCTTTTTTGAGTCTTAATTTCAAATGTTATGTATTTCAGTAGACAATAAAATGTCTAGTAAAGATAAAAACAGAAAGCAACATGGTTCTATCCTTGATAAGTCATACTGTTTTTGAAAGAAACAAAATTAGAAGATAATTAATATATTCATTAAAAATATATTGATTACCTGCTACATATCAGGCATTGAACAAAACAGACATACTTCATTCTCTACTAAAACTTATATTCTAGTCTGGAGGATGGGACAGACAGAAACACAAAAAGAGAATAGATAATGTCAGATAGTGAGAGATGCTAAGAAGAAAAATAAAACAAGGTGAAGGAATAGAGTGAGATGGGTGGGAATTGGTCAGGAAAGCCTTTTTTGAGAAGATACTACTTTAGATAAGTCCTGAATGAAGAGAAATCATTCAAGTGAAGAAGCGAGAAAAAAGTATTCCAGATAGAGAAAACAGCTCAGACAAGCCCCTGAGACAGAAGTATATTTGGCATGTTTATAAATAAACATGAATAAAAAGAATAAAAAATCTCAGTAGGGCTAAAAATTGTAATCTAAACAGAGAGGAAGGCAGAAGCCAAGATTATTTGGGGCATTATAGACCATACAAGGAGTTTGGGTTATACTCTTTTTGAGGTGAAATCTACTGGAGGATTTAACAGAAGAGTGATATTGCTAACTTCAGTTTATAAAAAAACAGTCTAACTTCTATATGGAGAGTAAAGTAGGGATACAAGGATGGAAGTAAGGAGACCATTTAGAAGGTTTGAACTAGGCATAAGAGGTTATAATGGCATGGATTAGATCTGAAGAGAGAAAGAAAGAGAAGTTGACGGATTTGAGGTACCTTTAATGATATAGCTGGCAGGACTTGCTGATGGATTTGACATAAAGGGTAAGAGAGAGAACCCCTGAATTTTTCACCTGAACAAATGGTGATGTCATTTACTGAGATAGAGAAGACTGAAGGAGAAACTGCTTTGCTTAAAGTGTTGGGGAAGGTGAATGAAATGAAAATTCTATTTCACCATCTTAAATTTAAAAAGCCTATTAGAGTGAAGTGAAGATATCAAGTAAGTTTTAAGCACATGAGCTCAAAATTCAGTGGACAAGGCAGAAAATCAGCAAATATACATACTGAATATCTAAAGGTCTGTAGAAGTTGAACTGCTTTCTAAAAGGTTAAAAAAATAAGATTAAAGCCAGGCGCGGTGGCTCACACTTGTAATCCTAGCACTCTGGGAGGCCGAGGTGGAAGGATCGCTTGAGGTCAGGAGTTCGAGACCAGCCTGAGCAAGAGCGAGACCCCGTCTCTACTAAAGATAGAAAGAAATTAGCCAAACAACTAAAAATAGAATAAATTAGCCGGGCATGGTGGCGCATGCCTGTAGTCCCAGCTACTTGGGAGGCTGAGGCAGGAGGATCGCTTGAGCCCAGGAGTTTGAGGTTGCTGTGAGCTAGGCTGAAGCCACGGCACTCTAGCCCAGGCAAGAGAGTGAAGACTCTGTCTCAAAAAAAAAAAAAGATAAGATACTAGATTAGTGTCATATGTCAAGATCTTTTTCAGGGTTTCAAGATTGGTTTTGTACCTTGTAGTACATATATGGACTTAGTAGGTTGTGCTAGGTACAACAATGTACTGCTTTGCCTCCCCTCATAGGAAAGCATCTGTTCTAATTTGTCTCCATGGAATGGACTGAGAAGATAGTACTGTGGTGAAATTCTGCCAAAGTAATTGGATTCTTAGGATGCTTTTGTAGTTCTTCATAAGTACAGTATAAAGTTCTAACTTCTTGCTCTCTTTCAATGCCCCACATATTCTGGACCCATTCTACCAATTCAGCAAGTACCCACCATTCCAAATGGACACAACTCCTCACCCCCCATGGTATGCAGTGCTCATTCTTTTTTCCCAAGCTCCTATCTTCCCTGTGCCTTGATTTTTTTTCTAGCTATTTGCTTTAAGACCCAGAGATGAACTCTAGGCCTTTGAATTCTCTTAACTCTCCTGTAGCATGAACTGATAACTTCTTTCTCTAAATTCTATAGTCTATGTGATATATACTGCTTATTTTAATACTCAACATCAATACATTACTTTAAGGTATTACCCAGTGTATACATTTTGTTTTCTTTTAAAGTATAAGCTTTTTGAAGGCAAAGGACCCTGTTAATAATTCCTTTGTATCCGTGTGTGCTAGCATGCTGTTGAACAGAGAGTAGATACTTATTCAGCAGATTATTTTCCTTTTGACTATTTGAATAAACGGTTTTCATTGTATCTATAGTGATGGACAATTTTTTTCTTTAGGCTTTCCAAGATCTTCCAAACACATTGGATGAAATTGACGCTTTATTAACTGAAGAAAGATCAAGAGCTTCCTGCTTCACGGGACTGAATCCTACAGTATGCCTCTTTCTTTGTTCCCATTCTGTACCCACCACTTCTACTACCCTTCCCATACACACGCGTGTGTGCATGCACGCGCACACACAGAGTTCCCTCCAGTACTTGCCTCCCACTCTGTACTAGAGCTCTTGGTAATAATAAGCTAGACAGCAGGAACAATGTGCTTTAAATGCCAGATTCTGAATCTATTAGAATTTTAAATAGATTCTTCCTGAGGAACATAGTGTTCTGTGCCTTTTCTTTATAAAAAGAATAGTTGGGCTAACCTGAAATACCGCAATGTCTATTTTTCAACAATAAAAAATGTCATTTTCAGTATGTAGTTAGAACATAAATTAGTTGCATACAAACAATGCAACACAATTGGCATTTTCAGCTAATGTTTTAATTTATGTAAATTTTATATTTTATCCTTTTGTAGATTTATCTTAAAGACATATTTTTTTCCCTGCCAGGTTGTTGAGGAATACACAAAAAGAGAAGAAGAAATAGAGCAGTTAACTGAGGAGCTAAAGGGAAAGAAAGTTGAACTAGATAAATATAGGGAAAACATTTTACAGGTAATTTTTTAATTTTTATGTTTTCTTTTTATCATGTGTTTATTATTAACAAAACAGGAACATAGAGTGATGCAAAATGGGATGACATACTCCTGAGAAAAGTGTGTTTCCATGATCAGATTGATACTGATATAAAATTTGTTTTATGTAAAGTTTTGTGCCAGAACATAATAGTACTGCTTTTAAATTGTGTTTTTGTATTGCCCTATTTGTAGGTAAAAGAAAGGTGGCTTAATCCTTTAAAAGAGCTAGTAGAAAAAATTAATGAAAAATTCAGCAATTTTTTTAGTTCCATGCAGTGTGCTGGTGAAGTTGATCTCCATACAGAAAATGAGGTAAAATTGCATTTGAAATCTATTTCTATGAGAGTAATTTTACTTGTGTGCTAAAAGTACATGTAAATTACTTATTAACTTCAGAGTTATACCTATGAGAATTTTGTTTACTAAAAAATTTTCCGAAGGAAGGAGAAGACAACCTATGAGATTCCGTCAGGGTCACTTCCACCCCCTCACCACCCCCCATTTTCAAGTTTCAAAAATTTATTTTTTTTTTTCACTTTGACTTACCAATGCTTTTTTTTTTCCTTTCAAAATATTAATTAAGGGGGTACAAGTGTTTTGTTATAGATAACCTGTATAATGCTTAAGTCAGGGCCTTTGGTGTGCCCATCACCAGAATAGTGTTCATCGTATCCAGTAGGTAAGTTTTTATTCCATCCTCCCCCACACACTGCCCCCTTCTTAGTTTGTCATGTCCTTTTTATCGGTTTGTGCTGGTGCGTGCCCATCTATTAGCTCCCACTTATTAGTGAGAACATATGGTATTTTGTTTTCCATTCCTGAGATACTTCATTTAGGATAGTGGTCTCCAGTTCCATCCAGGTTGCTGCAAATGACATTATTTCATTACTTTTTATGGCTGAGTAGTAAGTACTCCATGGTAGGCGAAGGAGGTATGTGTGTATATATCACATTTTCTTTATCCACTTATGAATTGATGGGCACTTAGATTGATTCCGCATCTTTGCAATTGTGAATTGTGCTGAAATAAACATTCGAGTACAGGTGTCTTTTTGATAAAACGACTTCATTTCCTTTGGGTAGATACTGAACAGTGGCATTGCTGGATGGAGTGGTAGGTCTGCATTTATTTCCTTGAAGAATCTCCATACTATTTTCCATAGAGGTGATAGTAATTTGCAGGCCCACCAAGAGTGTATAAGCATTCCTTTCTCTTTGCATCCGCACAAGCATCTATTGTTTTTTGACTTTGTAATAATGACCATTCTGATAGGGGTAAGGCAGTATCTTATTGTAGTTGTAATTTGCATTTCTCTGATGATTAGTGATATTGAGCATTTTTTCATATGTTTCTTGACCATTTGTCTGTCTTTGAAAAAACTTATGTTCATGTCTTTTGCCTGCTTTTTGATGGGGCTGTTTGGTTTTTTTCTTGCTTTTTTGTTTGAGTTCTTTATAGAGTCTGGATATTAATCCCTTGTTGGATGTATAGTTTGCAAATATTTTCTCCCGTTCTATAGGTTTTCTGTTCACTCTGTTGATTATTTCCTTTGCTGTGCAGAAGCTTTTTAATTTAATTAAGTCCCATTTATTTATTGTTGTTGCTGTATTTGCCTTTGGGGTCTTAGCGTAAATTCTTTGCCTATCTATGCTGATGTCCAGAAGAGTTTTTTCTACATTTTCTTCTAGAATTTTTATGGTTTCATGCCTTACATTTAAGTTTTTAATCCATCTTGAATTAATTTTTGTATATGGTGAGAGATGGTCCTGTTTTCGTTACTCTGCATATGGCTATCCAGTTTTCCCAGCACCATTTATTTAATAGGGATTCCCTTCTTCAGTGTATGTTGTTGTCTGGTTTTTCAAAGATCAGTTGGTTGTAGGTAGATGGTTTTATTTCTGGGTTCTCTATTCTGATCCACTGGTCTATGTCTCTACTTTTATACCAGTACCATGCTGTTTTTGTTACTATAGCTTTGTAGTATAATTCAAAGTCAGGTAATGCAGTGCCTCCAGATTTGTTCTTTTTGCTTAAGATTGCTTTGGCTGTTCAGGCTTTTTTTTGATTCCAAATGAAGCTTAGGATTATTTTTTCTAGATATGTAAAATATGATGTTGGTATTTTGATGAGGATTGCTTTGAATCTGTAACTCAGTTTGGGCAGTATGGACATTTTAATGACGTTCTATCATTTCATGATCAGGGGATTTTTATTGATTTGTTTGTGTCATCTGCAATTTCTTTCATCAGTGTTTCTTGGTTCTTCTTGTAGAGATTTTTCACCTCGGTTAAGTATATTCCTAGGTATTTATTTTCTTTGTAGCTATTGTAAATGGTATTGAGTCCTTGATTTGACTCTCTGCTTGACTGTTATTAGTATATAGAAATGCTACTGATTTGTGTACATTGATTTTGTAACCTAAGACTTCTGCTGAGTTTACTTATCAATTCCAGGAGTCTTTTGGTGGAGTCTTTAGTGTTTTCTAGATAGATCGTATCAGCAAACAGGGATAGTTTGACCTCCTGTTTCCCGATTTGGATGCCCTTTCTTTCTTTCTCTTGCCTGATTGCTCTGGCTAGGACTTCCAGTGCTGTGTTGAATAGAAGTGGTGTTAGTGGGCACCCTTGTCTTGTTCCAGTTCTTAAGGGAAATGCTTTCAACTTTTCCCCATTCAGTATGATGTTAGCTGTGGGTTAGTTATTTATAGCTTTTATAATTTTGAGTTATGATCCTTCTATACCTAGTTTGTTGAGGGTTTTTATCATGAAGGATGCTGGATTCTATTGAGTGCTTTTTCTGCATCTGTTGAGATAATTATATGGTCTTTGTTTTTACTTCTGTTTATGTGATGAATCACATTTATTGATTTGCATATATTAAACCATCCTTGCGTCCCCGGGATAAAACCCACTTGATCATGGTGAATTATCTTTCTGATGTGCTGTTGAATTCAGTTTGCTAGTATTTTGTTAAGGATTTTTGCGTATGTGTTCATAATTGATATTGGTCTGCAGATTTGTGTTTTTGTTATGTCGTTTCCTGGCTTTGGTATCAGGATAACACTGGCTTTATAGAGTGAGTTAGAGAGGATTCCCTCCTTCTCCATATTATGGAGTAGTTTCTGTAGGATAGGTACCAGTTTGTCTTTGTATGTCTGGTGTAATTGGGCTGTGAATTTGATCCGGGGCTTTTGTTTTGTTGGGAGATTTTTTTATTACTGCTTCAGTCTCATTGCTCATTATTAGTCTGTTCAAGATTTCTATTTCTTTCTGATTCATGTTTGAGAGATTGTATGTTTCCAAAAATTTGTCCATTTCCTCTAGGTTTTCTAGTTTGTTTAAGTAGAGGTTTTCATAGTATTCACGGATGATACTTTGTATTTCCGTGG